TGGGCTTGGAAAGCGTCCAGTCGTATGTAGGGTGTGTAGGGGTAGGGTTGAGTTCAATAAGGTTTTTACATTTGAAAGGTTTGAACAACCCGCAATCAGCACAACATACCTACCACAAGTTAAATAAAAAACTACCAAACTCCGCCCAACTAATATTAATAAACATTACAGCCAAACTAATGGCCTAAATAAAAATATATCTCAAATCCTAACAGTTATCGCGGGTGATGGTGCCATGAGTTGCTATTATCCAAAACAGATGCAAATAAACATGTTTGTATGTCCTATGTATGTTTGTTTTAAAAACGTTGCAGCGGCGCTGGGAACTGCAGTCTTAGATCTGGGTATGTTTGGTATCTGCAACTCTTCATATACACATTAAAGGGACCATCCCACCTTAACATTAGTTTTGAGTTGAGATAGCCAAATTGGTGGCCATGGCCTGAAAATACCGGTTTGGGCACTCACAACATCGAAAAATGTTTTAATTCGGAGATATGGAATTTCAAACTTGCAGTTTTCGGATTCTAAGGGGCTAATGCTTTGGTATGCCCCCTTAGAATTTGTGACGTCAGCGCAGATCTAACGATTTTAAATCTTTCACTAAAACGTTTGGTAGCACGCGGTGGTATATGCTGCTTTGCGCGCAACAAGTGCCGCACTTTCAAATAAAGTCGCTAGGAACAGCGGAGATCCCAAAAAGTAAACAAAAGTAAAAGTCTAATATCTTGAAAACTGGTGAATATTGTTTGATGAAATTTGGTAGATATTCGTTTTCGCTCTTTCTGAACCGAGCGACATCACTTTCATGGCAATTCATTAACTTTTTTGAAGGTGGGAGGGTCCCTTTAACCCTATTTCGGACGGGGAGACCTTTCAGGATTTTCTTGTACAATTGCCAAACGCCGCGAGACATTAAGCTCATATTTGGTGACTTTTCCTAAATGCTCATTGCGCACATCTCAGCAAAAAAAAAAAAAATACCGGGTCAGGTCAGGTCAGGTAACCAGAGCGGGTTTGTTGACCCCACCTCAGAAAAGTTTGCAAACACGTCAGAGCTTGAGTTTTTCACGAAGTTATTTCCTCTCATCAAGTCTTCAAAACAGTAGGGTAGACCGGGGCAAGTCGCCCCGCCGAGGTAAAACGCCTCACCGATGTTTCTCGGAACTGGCAAGGTTCTGGGGAAACATTCTCTCTTCTTTAAAACGTGCACTATATGATCATTATATGAGCAGACTGGAAAGATATTGTGATAACTCTTTAGGGAGATATAGCCAAAAATTTGTTTTTGGAGTGATTTTTATGTTTTGTAGTCAGATTATGCATCATGGCGTTCTTTTATGGTTCACATCAGGTTAACGACTTTTATGTATTTTGAACAACTATTGTCTAACGCTTATAATGCTGGGTTGGTCCGTTTTAAATTATGCCTTGCTGGAGTGCAAGGCGTTGTTCTCTGACCAAACTACGTGATGGGGTAAAACGCCCCAGTAGGTCGCGGGGCAAAAAGCCCCATGGGGCGTTTTACCTCATGTGTTGTTCCGACTACCCACTTCCTAATGTTCGGTTGCTGGCGAACAGTAAGTTTCTATGCAATTTTATGTACATTTCTCAGCAAATTAATGACAAAGGAAGCATTTAGTTAACATTTGCATTGCAATAATTTATTATTTGGCCTTATGAGGCAGGTGAAAAACCTGTACATACAATAGTGTCATAGCTGAACACCTGACAGGATGGAAGGTGCTAACTTCAGTGCCGTGCCTCCCAAGGTCTAACGGGCCTCTCATATAAGATTTAGTCAACTAGCATGTTCAATCTTTAATCTAGAGTATGGGGCGTCTTGCCCCAGGCCGTGGGGCGTTTTGCCCTGGGGTTGGGGCAAAATGCCCCATTTGCAGTTGCTTCACAAATCACTTCCTAGCTGGGAGTCCGATCATAAGTGAATGAATTTGAGGGGTGGAATTTAAAGTAAAATGTCCAAAGAACGCATTGAGCACAAATTTGGCCTTCCAGGTGATGTGGGACAAAAGTTATGTAGCAAAATAAATTATCTGGGGCGTCTTGCCCCAGGCTACCCTACCTGCAGTATGTGTCGTTTGTATATCTCAGAATTTTTGATCTGTGACCTGAGGTTAGGTCAGAGTCGTGACCTTTACATTGCAAGCCTATGGAAAAGCATTGAAATGCGACCTGCACCTCGAGTAAACGAGTCAAAACCAACCAATTCTTTAAGAATTATGACAAATTATCTTATCTGTAATGATCCAGGTGCCATTTACTGACAGGGACACCGGAGAGGGTTATCTGAGCCGAGATCATGTGAGGTGATATCTACCATACATCAATGCTCACAATACTTACAATATTGACAATGCTTTTGCTTACAACACTTACAATACTTACGATGAGACCAGCAAGCACTCTGCCGTTACAGTTCTAACTTCTGTGTCGAAAAACGACGTTACACACATTCGCTGCCAGCATAACATGTATTGTTTGACAGTAACAAAATACAATTGACATCTGAACCCCAAACGGACCGCCATCCACTCAAATTTTATAACCCTGACCGGTCAGGGGGCGAATGGAGGTCATTTCCTGGGCATTTCACTCAGCCCTTGCACAAAATATCTCACCTCACAGTGATCATTACAACAATAGCACCGACTTGATAGTGGATTTCAAAGTACTTGCATCAGCTCTTCCTGCTATTGCAGACGATCATCTCCTCAGGGTAATGTTGTTCGGGACATGAACGAAGATCGTTTTCGGAGTTTCATAAGTGCTACTGCAACAGCCTGGCACAAAATAGGACTTGTACGCTCTTCTCTGCACTTTGCCCTTCAGTATATCACAAAAGAATTGTTTAGAATCCATCTTACGCTTCTTTCACAGTCTCCCTTGCCACCGTAGGGCGTAGATAGATTGCTGTTGCTGGTAAGTTAAGGCACGGTAGATAGAAATTACCTCGGTTCTCAACGCCTTAAGTTATTTTCATAAAAAAAGAACAAATAAATGATCAATAAGATGACAGGAATGTAAACATTTTAATCGCAAAGTAGTCCAAATATTGGAATGAGCTTTTGCTTTTCAGCATCCTCCGATTCATCATCTTTATCATTTGAAAATTCGAGGTACATAAAATGTTTATCACGCGCTCATGTTAAGTGGGAAAATAGTACACGGCACACACATCAATTTTTGACACTGAACATTTCATCCGTAAATGTTTTAGCATAATTTAAAGTTAAAAACAGCGCAAATGGCAGAGTGAAGCAAACAACATCTTTCACCCATTGATATAACATGTAATCTGTGGTGCGCCAGATGCGCCATTATTTGTCAACCGCAGAAGGTGACATGTGACGTAACAGCATCAAGAGCATCTTTTTTCAAGAACTTTTCAAAACAAGTTTCCTATCTTTCTTCCCCCATTTCTCTCAGCTTATTGATTTTATGAGGCAATGGTATGCACCATAAATTCTGTGAAAATAGTTTGATCATTTTCATGCATTCTTAAAAAATCGAGTTCCCAACCCCATTCCGCCCGGAAAAACGCGTTTTCCGTCTTTTTCACCCAGTTCATGACAGCGCACATGACTTCAGCGTCGGTCTCGAAGTGTTCACCATGGAGGCCATCCTTTAGGGGACCAAAGAGGTGAAAATCTGAAGGAGCCAGGTTCGGACTGTAGGGCGGCTGGGGCATGATATTCAGCCCTGTCACGCGATCTCCTCGCGCGTGGCGTGAGACAAGTGCGGTCGGGCGTTGTCATGGTGTATGGTGATGTTGTTGACATCCGAGCCGCGCCTATTCTTCAGGATTGCTTTTCTCAGTCTCCTGCAGGACTGTGATGTAGCGGCCCGCTGTCTATAGTCCGCCCAGGTTCAAGAAGTCCACCAGGATGACACCATGACAACGCTCGTCCGCACATGTCTCACGCCACACGCGAGGAGATCGCGAGACAGGGCTGAATATCATGCCCCAGCCGCCCTTCAGTCCGAACCTGGCTCCTTCAGATTTTCACCTCTGGTCCCCTGAAGGATGGCCTCCGTGGTGAACACTTCGAGACCGACGCTGAAGTCATGTGCGCTGTCATGAACTGGGTGAAAAAGACGGAAAACGCGTTTTTCCGGGCGGAATTCCGGCGTTGGCCGGAACGCTGGGAAAAGTGTGTGCAGGCGGGCGGCGGCTGGTTTGAGGTAAAGGCTACATTCAGAAACATTTGATCGATAATCTGTGAAAGTTTGAAAGTGTTAAATAAAGAAATAAAGAAGTTATGACCGATTGTTCGTTACTCATTGAACGACCTAATAATCGGATTCTAAACGATATTGGAACCAAATTGGAACATTGTGCTTAGTACCTAATTGTGGAATGGAATGAGCTTAATGGAACGAATGCTGTCTGAGATTGAGATCGCAGCTTCGAGTGAAGAATATGTTATTGAGATTATGCCATCCTCTCTACTGTGAACGGTAAATTTAAATGAGTCGGTGAAATTTAAGCGTTGTTAACAGGGGCGGAGCTTCCTATACAGTTGGTGAGGCGGCTGCCCCACCAACTTGCCATTTTGCCCCACCAATGAGTGTTTTGCCCCACCAACTTTAGGTGATCTGTAGGACTTTGTTGCTTTGTAAATCAACCTTCTCGTACTAAGGAGCTTTGCAATGTCGGTTTTATGCAAAAGATTGTCTCTATAATGTGAAAAATTTATTCAGTGTAGCAATTTATTTGACCTTACAATAGGGTTTTGTAGGTTTGACAACTTTTTGCCCCACCAACTTCCCTGGAAAAGCTCCACCCATGGTTGTTAATAAACCATAGTTGAACTGAACATTTGAATGTTAGCTAACAGTAATGCTATTGAAGTATTTAGGGCCACATAAAGTACAGTTGGCGCTTCAACGGACGCGATGGCCCGAGTCCGGCTCGATAACAGCTTGTTTGGCAGATTGCGCTGGCAAAAGTTGTGCGTATGTGACGGGAGGAGACGTACCTGCATCTTGACGCCGAATGCAGCTGTGAACTGTCTGAGGGACAGCCGTATGAGGTGTGAGGGTCTTTGGGCAGCATGTGCGCGCTCCCACGCGCCCCGATAGGAGCTCTGTCAAGGCCTCGCTCTCGCCGGAGCCACTCCCGTCTGGGGAAGATAGCCGACCCGCCGGGCTGCCCCGGGTGCAGCACTCGCCGACCCGGGCTGCCCCCGGGTGGAGCGCTCGCCGACCCGGGCTGCTCAGACGGAGAGGCCGCCGATCCGCGGGCCATTACGGCGCTGTTAGGATGCGGCGCTGGCCGGCATATGGCCCCGATATATCGCCGTCATCACTCTCAGATCGGCGCGGCGGCCGCGAAGCCCCTGGACGGCTGGGGGAAGCCGGCTGGGAGCGGGCGGGGGGGGGGGGGGGGCGGGCCCGGGGCGCGGCTCTGACCCACCGTCAGTTGGAACGGTACCCGCGCTCACGGCGATAGCGAGCCGACCATGGGTGAGTAAACGGCCGCCGCCACCTGCCTTCGAACGAAACAAAACCGAGATATTTCTGTTTTCACTGCTTAGCTTTATTTACTGCCAATCATTTCAGTTCTTACGTAATTATGTAGGTACTGTTTTCTTCCTCACGCTTCTGGCGCCTACAATGCCTATCTGTCATGCTCGACTTAACGTTGCTGCAAAACGAAATAGCTACCTATCCCAAGTCTCCCAGCTCATGCCAGCGACATCCGCCTGTGCTTACGTCCCTCCGTCCTGTCTATCTAACTGTGTTAGCGCCGATCCGTCTATTTATCCGTCCATCCCTCCCTCCATCCATGATCCAACCATCCGTCCAACTGTCATTTGTCCATCCGTCGATATACCTACTCAATTCGAATTCAATACTCATCAGTCCGCTCGACTTTCCGTCAAGCCTTTTATACGTTTAACGACTTCCCGTCTAGGCATCTGTAGATCCTTTCCTTCCATTCGTTCGTATATTCCGACCATTACGAGTAAATCCATCCACCCGTGTCCACACGACCGCTGCATACGTCTACCCGATAACCCATTGGTCCACCGGTCCATCCGTTTGCCCAGCCGTCTGTCCGTCCGCTGACCCGCTGAGTCTCCTCTCGGCCCGTTCGTTTCGGTCACGCCAGCGGCGGCGGCGGCGGCGGCGGCGGCAGGCAAGTTCGGCTCGTTCTCGTACCCGGACGGCTGCAGCTACGTGGGCGACTGGAACGAGGCCGGCCAGCGGCACGGTCACGGCCAGATGACGCTGGCGGACGGCGCCGTCTATCAGGGCGGCTTCGCCAACGGCTTCTTCAACGGGCTCGGCGTCATCGTCTTCTCCGACGGCGCAAAGTGAGGAGTTTAGCTGTGGCTAGCCTTATTGAGTTCGTTAAACTATTTTAGTTAATAACAAAATGTGTATTGTAGCGTTATGATATCCGAGTCGATTGTTTGTGGCTTAATTACATCATGCACACACCGCACGTCCACACCACATGCTAGCCGGCAAACAAGAGGTGATTGGATGATCGGCCACGAATTCAAAACAATCAACTCATTCAAATGAGCACTCAAATTGTCAGGGCACGTCTGAGCCGCGCGTCAATCCCCAGCTGAGCCGGCCGATATGAGTTCAGCCGGCAGCCGTTCCATGGATGGCCGTCCGTCACTGCTCCAGCCAGTCGGCTGCGGCACGTGACGGCCGCTCTGTCGGGGGCCGTGCATCATCCGCTGCCGACCGCCGCGACCCGCCCCTGACGCCATCGTCAGAAGGGGGCACGCGACGGTGGGGGGGGGGGGGGTCGGCGGCCGGCGGTCCACTGCCGACAACAGCCTCCGTCCCCGGGTCAACGCTGTCACCGTGCTGGCCTCCGCCGTTCCTGAACCAGACCATTGTTCCAATAGTGGTCTGGCTGCCTCTTTCCCCGGCCGCTGACCAGTGACCGAAGCTGGCTAATGTCAAGGGCACTGGTCCCTTTTCCCTACCAGCGCCGGCGACTGTCCCTATGGAAGCCCTGCCGCCGTCCCAGACCAGCGCTGGCCGCCGTCCTCGACTAGCGCTGACGGCCGTCCCCGTCCGTCCCCAGGCGCGCTGACCGCCGTCCCCGTCCGTCCCCGACCAGCGCTGGCCACTGTCCCCGTCCGTCCCCGACTAGCGCTGACCACCGTCCCCGTCCGTCCCCGACCAGCGCTGACCGCCGTCCCCGTCCGTCCCCAGGCGCGCTGACCGCCGTCCCCGTCCGTCCCCGACCAGCGCTGGCCACTGTCCCCGTCCAGCGCTGACCACCGTCCCCGTCCGTCCCCGACCAGCGCTGACCACCGTCCCCGTCCGTCCCCGACCAGCGCTGACCGCCGTCCCCGTCCGTCCCCGACCAGCGCTGACCGCCGTCCCCGTCCGTCCCCCGTGCACTGGTCCGACGGCGCTCGCTGCTGGCACTGATCGATCGCACCGTGCGCCGGAACATGCACACAGCACTGCTCAGACGACACGACTCGAACCAACACCATCGACTATAAAGCCTGGAACGCCTCGTAAAATGACGACTCTGAAATGAAATCGCGATTTGATGGCGAGTAGGCGGCCGTCGCATTCGTATTGCCACACGACAGGCTACGCAATGGGATCCGTTCGCGCACGGACGGCCTGGGCGGCCTGCATCCAGGAGACCTCATTTGCCAGGTTCCTTATTGTTGTTGAATTGTTTTCTGACGCAGTAGTTGATGTTCGCTGAGCCGTGACCTGACCAGTAAAGCCGTGAGCGACAGCTCCACATTGTTGGTCCGCATATTCGGCACGGCATTGTAAAATGTTGAGCCTCCCTCACAATAATGATTGCATTGCACCCATTGCTCATAAATCGTACCTTTTATAATCATTCATTATTATAACATTTCTTTTTGTGACCATGAATAATAACCAGGACTTAGTTTGATATAATTAATATAATGTATAGGGTATGTAAAATGTAGGCATGCATAATGCATATGTCGTGCGCTCATTATGTACTTACCTACACTCTCACTTATATAATGAGCTTCCGTGCACTGTGAGCTAGGTTCAATCGCGACAACTCAGAGAACTATTGGCAAACGACACGCCGAGATCCAGTTTCCGCTTCCCCGCTGGTTGTGAATTTACCGGGTGGTGGAACAAGCCCATGGCTTCCCTCCATTGTTTCTATGCACAGGATAACGTTCCGCTGAGATGACAGGCGGCTGGATAGATCATCAGTGCATGACGCTCTCACGGACTGGAGCCTTTTTCTTTACCGTGTGCTCGATCACACTGCAGGTACGAGGGCGAGTTCGCACAGGGCTGGTTCCATGGCCACGGCATCTTCTGGCGGTCGGATGGCATGCGGTACGAGGGCGAGCTGCGCGGAGGACGCCTCTGGGGCCACGGTGAGCCGGTGCCTTCTCACGGGTACAGATAACAGTACACACTGCGACATACATAGATAGATACTCATAGCGGGTCCACTCATAGCACCCACGGCGACTGCGGCTGGGGCCTAGTAGTGCTGCTCGTAATGTACATAATAGTAATGCAGATGAACGCGCAAACTTTATGCTATATGATGGTAAAGACTGTGATTGGACTGTGACAAGTTCATGAACTTTGAAGACTTCTCAGAAAACCAAATGGTCTTTGTCGTACTGATTATTTCCATTTCCTACTTGGACTGGTTATTTTTCCTCATCTTTAACTATCATCATGCAGCAGAAAAGTAATCAAGTTGTGCGCACGACAAGGCAGAACTAAAACGATCTCTCCTTCGTTTCGCTCATTGCAGGTCTGATGACCTACAGCGACGGATCACACGGCTTTCCGCGGCAAGAAGGCTTCTTCCAAGACAGCAGATTTATTCAGAAGAAAAAGTGTTCAAAAGTAATCTCACGCGCCCAGAAAGTTGCTTTGCTGGCTAGGCGGCAGTGCGAGTGATCTGCACGATTCAGTATTTTTTTTATCATGTATACATAACAAATATGTTATAAGTTGACTTGTCGTCAATTTTACCACGTTTACATGTCAGACTCTACAATACCTACCTGCCACCGCTCTCGCTACGGGTCCGTATCAAAGCGTCCAAAACCGCAGCACCCAAAGTACGCAACATCCAAAACCGCAGCGTCCAAAGTACGCAACGTCCAAAATACGTCCAAAATCGGGTTTATAGGGGGCATTCACAAAGTCCAAAACCGAAACATCCAAAACCGCAACGTCCAAAAACGTATCATCCAAAAAACGCAACATCCAAAGACGCAACATCCAAAGCACGTAACCTCCAAAACCACAACGTCCAAGACCACGACATCCAAGGCACGCAACATCCAAAACCAACCTAACCAAACCTAACCTAACCTAACCTAACCTAACCTAACCTACTGATTTTTGCCTATCCCTAACCCAACCAAACCTAACCTAACCTAACCTACTGATTTTTGCCTACTGGGGATAAGGAAACCCAACCTAACCTAACCTAACCTAACCTAACCTAACCTAACCTACTGATTTATGCCTACCGGGGATAAGGAAACCTAACCTAACCTAACCTAGCCTAACCTAACCTAACCTAACGGTTTTGGATGTTGCGTACTTTGGATGTTGCGTACTTTGGATGATGCGTCCTTGGATGTTGCGTTTTTGGATGATACGTTTTGGATGTTGCGGTTTTGGATGTTTCGGTCTTGGACGTTGTGAATGCTCCCTATATACCCGATTTTGGACGTATTTTGGACGTTGCGTACTTTGGACGCTGCGGTTTTGGATGTTGCGTACTTTGGATGCTGCGGTTTTGGACGCTTTGATGGTCCCCCCTCGCTACTTTGTATAAGTGTAAGATCACGGGCACGGGTGGAGAATGTTTGAAAAAGTTACCCCGGCCGGCGACCGAAAGTCAGAAAGACGATGATGCTCAAATATTTGTCCACGGTTATCAACAAACCCCTATTCTGTGGCATAGAATAATGGATGTCTGCCGTTTGTACGCTTTTAGGGAAAACTGCTTACTGCTGCACGCAGGTGCGGAAGATTTCATAATTGTAACAACAATTTTGCAACACGCCTTAAAATTTCGGACGCATGTCACCTAGTGCTAGGTCAGGTCATCAGGTCAAATTTGCTGGATGATCGTGCTAAAAATGCCATCATGCCCTTTGCAAAGCTTATTCCGTGGAAGTTGCCACCTTCCCACACAAAACAAAATGTCAAATTTGACCGTTTTGACCCTCTTATTGATTTGAGCTCGCACCTGAAATATTATTCGCGACCGAGCCTTAAACGAGTAATCGAATGTTTTGTTTGCAGTGTTTAAGCTCCGTTATGTTCATGAACTGTGAGAAAAGTTTTCGGAGAACGCTAAAATCAGAGAAATTTGGCTTTTGATGATCTATGGTGATTTTATTATTGAGCTTGCCTAAAACATGACCAGATTTCTCTGATCACGTTTGTCGCTCTTTCAAACGTCGTTCCGCTTCTCGCCTCGTAGCCCAGTAGCCGAGTTAGAAGGAGCGTGAAAAGCCCACCTCTCGACTCAACGTGTTACGATAGGGCCACCACCCCGGCGCGGGTTAAGTTGGGGGAGCCTTGAGCCCCAGCAGCTCGTCCTTCTATCTCACTGATATTACCCTGGTCCTGTCTTGTGATGTTATTACAGTGCCATCTTACGATAACGGCCCTTAACCCGCGCCCTGGTGGGGGGGGGCTATTTTTTGCCCCCCCTCCAGACTTTTCGATATATCTCCAGAACCACTGCGCCGATCGTCACCAAACTTTCAGTACCCTCCCGGACATCAATTTTACACATTGTGACCAAAATTTTTTCCAAAGACTATGATAGGTTGGCCGGAAATGACGTCAGAGTGACGTCATGTTCTGCCGTTTTCGACCCAAAAAAGGGTTTCGCGGGAAGAGCTGTCAGGCCTATAGCTTTGCAAATACAGAAAAATGATTAAGACATAAAAGCTGCAGAATGGACAGGGCTACAAAACTGCTATCTCGGATTTTTGAAATTTTTTGATTTTGACCCCCAAAAATAAAAAAATAGATTTTTTGAATATAATGACCAAAAAACCCAAAAAGTTTTTGGAATTTCGAAAAAACCGGAATATATGTGATAGTCCCTACCGTCTTCCATCTACATACCAAATTTGAGATCGATACCTCTTTTTTTGGCCAAGTTATAGCGAAAAAACTGTTCAAAATTGATGACGTCAAATTTTCAAACTCAATTTTCAGCAATTCTAGACCTCGTAGCGCAAAACAAAGACCACTATTAGACTCCCCGTGACGAGCTGCATCGAATCAATACCCATTTTATGCAAAAATATCAACTTTGAAATTTGACCTTTTTTGACCTGACCTTGACCTGACCTCCACCAGAAAGTGACCTAAACCGTACCTGATGGTCTTATAACCAACACCATTGAGTTGGAAATGAAAAACTGGCCATAAAACATGCATCGCACAACCTTAGTAAAGTTGGGTTCATGTGGTGACCCTCGGTGACCTTTGGTGACCTGACCTGTGACCTGACCTGGTATGACCAGTGACCTCTAACAGCAACATATCTACTAGGCAACTGACGCCCTATCGCTGATTCCCGACAAAATGCGTTTTCCTCGGTGTTATAGCGCATTCCCTAGAAGACCCGTGAACGGTGAAACATTTCATCTTTGACCTGACCTGTGACGTCATCGGTGACCCCGAGGTCAATAAAATTTGGTTTCCTTCGACAAATTTGACAGGCCTTTCGAACGCCGTTTGAATTTTGCGGATCCGTCCAGTAGTTTCGGAGATACGAGGGGGGGGCAAAAAATAGCCCCCCCCCACCAGGTCGCGTTATAAACAGACCCCACCAGGGCGCGGGTTAAATATGATTTACTTCTGTTTGATGAAACATGTCGGGCTCCGCGATGAAAAGACTTAAAAACATAGAAGCTCCAAAATGAAAATAAAGTAAATTTTCAAGAACTTTTCAAGGTAGATAAGAATAATGAGAGACGCTTTTATAGATGGCAGTTTTTTCGTATGGAGACAGCTTTTAGGATTTACAAAAGTGGAAAAGTTACCCCGGCCGCGCCGGGGTCGGCTGAAAGTTACCCCGGCCACGGCCGGGGTGGCCGGGGCAGGTTCTCCACCCATGATCACGGGTACGTTACTACATGTATCGACGGCCTTTTTGCGGATGCTTCATTACGCTTCGGCCTATCCTAATCCCCTTGGCCCTTGGGTAAGATTACGTCTATCCCAATCCCAATCACTTTTCCAATCCCAATCCCCTTTTCCCATCCTGCTTATTTATAAAAAAAGCTCAATTTCAACAACGAAGAACGTTTTGAATGTTTTGCTCTGCCCTCTGTTGTCGAAAAGCTCCGTAGGTATTTGGCACACGGCTTACATGGATAAATAAATGTGCGAACAATGTAAGAAAAGAGTCACAAGGGTACGGAATCATCTTCGTGATTAGACTCGAGTACGATGTTTTCCGGTAACGCAGTGCGGACTGCGGCCTTGCGAACCTGCTGTGATGTGTGGGCAACAGCCAGGCCTTGCGGCACAGCCTATGCGGCAGTAGTGTGTAATGCGGCACAGTCTACCCAAACTGTAATGTAATGGATTGTAAGCGACCACGTTCCTTTTGGCAGCAGTACCTAGGGTATACGTTTGTTGGTGTGACGACAGAAAACACTTCAAATCACTGCCGGGCCCAGGGGTGTAAGAGAAAAATAAGCTTATTGTGTTTTGACTAATGTCCTCTTTCACTAATAAGCAAAGTGACGACTATAAGCGAGCTCGCTCGGCTACTGCAGCTCAGTGAGCTGAGCTGAAAAAGGTTTCAGTTTGATGGCCGACTCGCATTACAGCGATTGGCTGTCGGCTGTGCAGTGCCGTGGCCGACTGCGCAGCGATGCTGACCGATCCGTGGCCCGGCCGCACCGGTTCACCGCCGACCGAGCTGGGCCGGTGCTCCGCCAGCCACACGGCCGCCGGCCGCCGACGGACCTGGCCGGAACGCCTGATCAGGGGCCCGCCCGGGCCTGCAGGTCAGTCCACTCACGACTCCGGCAGGCCGTCACAGTTTCCTACGGCCAGGCGGGCTCGTGCGGCATAGTTCGGTCCCTGCGACTCAGCGAGGGGACACCGGTCGCCCTATACTGGTGACTCGGTCTGTGCCCACCGAGATTGGCAGAAGCTTTGGAATCGTGTCAATGGTAAGTTTGGCGAATTCACCCCAAATTCTAATGTTGGCTAGATTGGTTAACCCGCGCCGTGCTGGTGGCCTGGGTCTTATGTGTCGTACTGGGGGGGGGGGGGGGGGGCGTTTTCACGCCTCCCCCCGTCTGACATGGCTTATGGGCCACGTAGCGACACGCGGTAAGCGGCAATCGAAAGAACGTCAAAATAATGACGGAAATATTTGATAATTTTTAAGGTTAGATCAAAGGTCAGGTTACCAGAGGTCTCAGGTTATCAAAGTTAAAATTTTGTCTATTTTAACAATTTTCGAAACAACCAACGGCTAACTCGGGAACCAATAGAGCTACAACGCCGAAGAAAAGCGCATTTGATAGCCCTTTTACAGAACTTTCTTGTCATTGTCCTCAGATTTGACCTCAGGTCAACAGTTAAGCCTCCCGTGGGCAAAAACTATAAAAATGACAGTTTTCACGAAAATGGTTTTTCGGTAATAAATTTTGACTCAAGCGTGCCACGACACTAATTTTGCCAGCATCATGTTCCTCTCGTCGAGACGCGTCGAGTGAGCTATAAGTTGACCTTGAATGGTCGTTTTGAAAATTTGACCTCAGGTCAAGGTCAAGAACTGACCGGCATGGGTCATGCTGCATATCAGTCGATCTGTATTGTTGAGTTGAACACATCCGACGTGCTTTCACCGCTCTATCACCGGTCTCTATCAAAAGTTAGGTATAGTGAAAAAACTGCTGGTGAATTTTCATGACCTCACCTAAGATGACCTCAGGGTCACACAGAG